TCCAGTGGATAGCTCTACATCCATGAATATTTGGGTGTCACTATTTTGATTCAGTGGGTTAAACTTAATTAATTAATAAATAAGCCCAACATAGCTTGGAGGCACACACCTGTCATTTCATAACTTGGGAAGTAAAGGCAAGCAGATCTAGAATTCGAGGTCATCCTTGACTATATAGTGGATTAAAGGCTTGCCTAGTTACATGATACCATATCTTAAAAAGGAGAAAAAAGAGGAAGAAAAGGAGGAGAAGGAAAAGGAGAAATTTAAAAAAGGAATATATACATGTATGAAAATACAAAATATAATATAAAAACATTTATTTCCATTCTGTAGACTCTAAAAATTTCTCTGATAAGGCTTGAGATACATGGCAGTCTAAGGGTATAACAATAAGTCATTAGGAGTTGGTATATAATTTTTTTAATTTGCATACATGCAACCAAAACACTCACACACTTAAAACAAAATGAAAACAATGTCAAAAAAAGAAAAAAGGTTAAAGAGTTTGTAGCTATAACTGAACAGCAGAGTGCTTGCCTGGCATGTGGGAGACCCTAAATTTCTTCCTTACTACTGAACAAAAAAAAGAGAGGGTATGTGGAAGGAGAGAGGGAGGGAAGGAGGGAGGGAGGGAAAGAGGGAAGGGAGGAATTCCAAGGATGGAAATTTTCGAGTTTGATTCATCAACTCATCCATTTTCTAGAGACCCTGACTCTCATGTTTGGTTAGTATTTTGGTTAGTACCAGGGGCTTGCTATTGCTTAGGTTTATAACTGGATCCCTGGGAGACTTAGGTGGAATGTGGAGGAAGGAGAAGAGAAAAGAGAATGGAAGAACTAGATGGGTAAGAACTTGAGAGGAACAAACTGAGATGAGGAAGAACTAGGTTGAAGGACTAGAAGAGACGACTAGAGGAATGAGATGAAAAATGAGGAAGAGCCAGATGGGGAAGAATAAGATGAGGAAGAACAAGATGAGAAAGAAGGAGATGGGAGAGGAGCTGATAGGGGAAAGAACAAGATGGATGAGAACCTAGAAGGGGCAGAACTAGATGAAGAAATTAAAATAGAACGTAGAGGGAACAGTAGATAAATATAGAGAGAAATCCGGCAAGAAAGGAGCTAGATATTAGATCAGAACAGAAGCTGTGTGGAGAGAGAACCATCACAGAATAATAAAGTGTATGAACTAAGGAGTTTCGTGTACACAGATTAATTTCTTTTCATCAGTGATTAATTATCAGCTGATTATAGATTCTTCCCGGACCCTGGGAGGGACTATAGAGGGTCTGGACCTCCATAGTCGACGATAAGAAGTAAAAGCTGGCAAAGGTCTCCTTGTGAAACCATTTTTTATAAAGGGTTGATTCCCACAAAACCTCAATGCATAAAATGTATTTCGTTTTAAGTATCATTTGGCCATATTTGGTAATCTGAGCTCCTTTAGAAAAGCTGGGCCTGGCGGCACAAGCCTTACAATCCCAGCTACTTGGGGGGTTAGGCAGGACCATTGCAAGGTCAAGACCCATGTGGGCTACAGGTTGGACTGTTGAAACTGTCTTAGTTCAAATTTTGTTTCCTCCCTGTCCATGTTTGCAACCTCGGAACAAAGCTACGCCCACAGAGCTAGGTCTTTGTTAGTAGGATGACTGAGCACAAGCTGTTTCAACCTCCACCAGTGTCAGCTGGAGGCAAGGTGTGGAGGAGTCACTGTGCCTGTCTTCAGACACAGAAGACCTTAGAGACTCCGGGAGAGGACACCTCTCCTCTCCCTCTGCTCATGGCACACTAAATGCTGCCTTCTCTGGTCTTGACATAAGGGTATCCATCCATCCTCAAACTCTAGGTCTGTCTCTTATCTATTTAGTCTCTTTAGAATTTTGTTTATGCCACTCTGTCCCACTCTAGTTTCAATGGTACTATAAGAATATAGAGAGGGAGAGAGAAAGGAGGAGGGGACAGGGAGAAGGGGAGGGACAGAGAGAGGGAGAGGAAGAGGGAGAGGGAGAGGGAGAGGGAG